CGGGCGGTGCCTCGCCTGATCGGGCGCGTGTTATTGTTAGATGTTAATTGTTTGACGTTTAAGTTTGTTTTAGCTTAGGATTCTTACGGAGTATAAATACTTCTTCGTAAAACGAGTTTAGTACCCTTTTCATTACCTTCTTTACTCTCTTAATTATTTTCTTAGATTTTCTCTCTCTACTTAGCTTTTAGATTAGTTTTCTCTCTCTTATACCTTTGTTCTTAATTTGATTCTTAATTCCAGATTTCTTTTGGTAACGATTTCTCTTCTCTAAATCTTAGTTATTTATTTTATTTCTTTGATCATGTCTTATTTTACTGCTTTTATTAGTTTATTTTGTATTATGTGTGAGTAGTTCTATTTCTAGGGTTTATGGGGATCCATAAATAATATGAAGGGGTAATTTATGGTTGTTAATTGTCAATGCTAGATTAATTTCCTATTGATTGAATTAATGCTCTGTGACTAGATTTGCGCAGGTCTTTTATGCATGAGTTTAACAATATTGATTCGAGATTCGACAGATGAAAATTAATGTTTAGGTCTAGTTTCAATAGGCAGATTAATTTATAAATGGTTAAGTCGAGATTCGAAAGATGAGATTTAATATCGGTAAATTAATTGTGTGATTGTAATACGTAGCGAAAGCCCTTTATAATCTGATTAATGTATGCATTGATGAATGATTATTATATTCTACCCTGGAATATTATTTATTGGTGAACCTATGCCCTAGATCCTTTTATTCATTGTTTTCTCCTTATTCTTAATCTTCGTAGTTTAGTTCCTTTTGATTATAATATATTGGTTACCTCATAAATCTAGATTATATTAGTTAATTAGGAATAGAAAGACTCGTTTCTCTGTGGATTCGACCCTACTTCCCTATCTACATTAGTTAGAGGATTTAGGAATTAATTTTGATTAGGGGATACGACTTTACCCTGTCAAAATTTGGCGCCGTTGCTGGGGAAACGGTTTTATTTTTGTTTCTGATTATTTTTTGTAGTCTAGGTTATTTCTTTTTGTTTCTGAGGCAAATCTCTTGTTTGCTTTTAGTTTTTTTTGTTTATGCCCAGGTGTTCCAGATCAGGGTACATCCCATTCGATCTTGAGATCGAACGATCCTTTCATAGACAGAAGAATTTCTACAAGAAAATTCTGGCGGATTCTGGTGATAATAATAATCACCGAGATCCTCCAACTGGTTCTAGCGATTCAGAGGTATCATCAGATCCAGAATAAGAGATGACGGCTCCAAAGAAGCTTAGTGATTACTCACAACTAAAGCTTGCGGATTTTCCACATCTCACTCTTACTCCAACTCTTGACGGGGTACAATTTGAGATTAAACCCCAATTTATAACGATGATAGAGAGGAAGCAATTTAATGGAGCCAAGGATGAAGACCCAAATCTTCACATTGCAGACTATTGTCAATATTGTAATACCATCAGGCAAGCCGGGGTCACACAAGACCAAATCAGGGAGATTCTTTTTCCTTTCTCTTTAACTGGAAAAGCCAAATTATGGTTTAATGGTTTAAATAGAACTGCACTTGGTATAACTGACTGGGAAACTCTTGTTTTGAATTTTTATAACAAGTATTATCCTGCAGAGAGAAAAGCCGTACTACGGAGTGCGATGTAGAACTTTGCCCAAGAAGCCGATGAAACTTTATATGAGGCTTGGGAGAGGTTCAAGGACCTACAAAGAGAATGCCCCCACCATAATTTGGCACAATGGCAGTTAATCCAAGCCTTTTACAATGGCATTGGAAATTCATCTAGAATAATTCTAGATTCTGCAGCTAGTGGGAGATTTATGAATCTTAATGTTGATGATGCAGGTCAGGTTATTGAAGATATGGCGATACATAATTCCCAATATGGGAATCCTAGAGGCTTTGCTAACAAGGGGAAGCATAGTGTTGATTCTATATCCTTTTTGCAAGCTCAATTGACCTCTATCTGCCAAAAATTAGATAATCTTAGCACTGCTAATATAGCTAATGTTTCTGCAATTAATAATAATGCTAATGAGGCTTTCTGTGAAAATTGTGGAATTACAGGTCATTGGGAACAAGATTTCAGGAGTTCCGTGGAGCAAGTTAATGCCTTTCAAGCTTATAGGCAGAATAACCCATACTCCAACACCTACAATCCTGGGTACCAGAATCATCCGTACCTTTACTACCGGAGTACTAATGTTCAGAATCCACCACCACAAGAACCACAGGCGCCACAGCAGCAGCAGCAGAAATATTACCATCCCAATGCTGGCCAGAAAAACCAACCACAACAATCCTCCTCATCTTTCGACCCTGCTTGGTAGAAATTAGAGCGATGTTGGTTAATATGCAGAAGCACATGGAGAGTAGAGATGCACAAATTGATCCAATTCTAGCACATAATAAAATTGTAGATAATCAAATTGCGCAACTTTCCGCTACTCTACCAGCCCGCCAACAGGAAGCTCTGCCAGCACAGCCGACCAGGCCTATGGATCAAGCCTATGCAATTACTCTAAGGAGTGGTTCAAACTATGAAGGGCCCCCTATGCCCAGAGTTGATGAACCTGTTTTAATAAATAATGCTAATCTTGATTCCGTTAAACCAGACAATGTAGCTAATAGCCCTGCAGGGCTAAAGCATAGTACTAATATATCTAATTCTACATTGCAGGGTATGACTCCAGGGAAGGTGGCCACTCCAGATAAGAGCAATAATGCTCCTAAGCCAGTTATCAAACTTCCATTCCCCAATCGTCAACTGAAAACAAATGTGGATAAGCAGTTTGGTAAGTTCCTGGAGATGGTAAAAGATTTGAAGGTAACAATGCCCTTCACAAAATTAATCACACAAATTCCTGCATATGCAAAATTTATGAAAGAAATATTGACAAGAAAAAGGTCTATTAGTGAGGTAGAGACAGTAGCTTTCACTGTAGAGTGTAGTGCCGTACTTCAAAATAAATCTCCACCTAAATTAAAAGATCCGGGTAGCTTCTCTATCCCTTGTCATATTGGCAATCTAATGATTGATAATGCATTGTGTGATTTGGGTGCTAGCGTTAGTGTTATGTCATTATCTGTGTGTTCCAAACTAAATATGGGTAAACTAAAAGCTACTAATATTACTCTACAAATGGCCGAGCGTTCTTTCAAATACCCCTTAGGTGTTTTAGAGGATGTCCCCGTTAGAGTAGGTAAATTTTATATACCTGTTGATTTTGTTGTTCTTGATATGGCTAGGATATGCAAACCCCAATCATTTTGGGTAGACCATTCCTTAACACTGAAGGAGCAATTATAGATGTGAGAAGTGGTAAATTAACACTATCAGTAGGGGACGATAAAATTATTTTTAATCTTAATAATACCCCTAAAAGCCCCATGACAGAGGAGAAATGCTTTAGTGTATTGTTAATGTGGTACATAATTATTTTAACAAGCCCTAAGCTCTTGAAAAAGATCCCTTGGAGGCGATATCTTGTGTTACATCCCTTTCAGATGAGATAGACAAATGGCAGAAGGAAGTTGATGCAATAGAAAGAGCCCTCTACACTGTCGGTCTTGGTTTTGAGGACGAGAAGGTGGAATCAATCAAGCAAGTTGTGCAAATTGAGCCTACGGTAGTGTTCCACCAGATCGAGTTGCAAGTGCTAAATGCAATGACATTTTGAAGCAACCCTCGATCAAAGAGGGATCTTTAGTGCGCACCATTGAAGAACCCCCAATCCAAGTCAAGGAGGATCTACTAGATAAGGTGAATTGGCGTCCCACAAGGCATGTCAGGAAGCCGCGTCGTAGCCAAAACACCGCTCAACCGGGTGAGAAACCGCCCGATCAAGCGTTAGGCCAAGGGTCCTAGTTCTTGTACTTGGTAAGAATGTCGTGCGGGACCTAGATAAACCAGCGCTTTGCGGGAGGCAACCCGTATTTTTAATGATTTTTAGACTAGTTTTTCTTTCTTTTTCTTATGAGAGGAGAGATGAGGGAATTTAATGAGTTTTATGAGTTTTTGTACAGTTTTGAAGGAAAAGAGTTAGCCAAAAATTGAATAAAAGAAGAAAGCAACAAATTCGTCAAATAGCCTCGGGCCCGACCGGGTGAAGTTCGCCCGACCGATGTGTCTATTTTATATAGTGTTTTACCCCCGTCCCTTGGTCGTAATTAGCAGTGTTTTTGGATCTTTAGAGCCACTTTTATTACTAATTGGTGTTTTCTAGTGTTTTCGTAGATTTGGTTGACTTTTGCAGGGATTTGCACTTTTGGAGCATTTTCTCGAGATATTATGGAGCAATCACGAGCATTGGAGAAGCACAACCATTTTTTATAGCCCAGGGCCGGTTAGAGCCATCGAATCGGTGATTAAGGGCTCGGTATATGTGATACCGGGATATTTGGACTGAGTATTCAAGACCCGAAGAGGAAACCCAGATTGGCCCGAAGAATTGGAGCCCAATCGAAATCCAAATAGTGGCCCAAGAGAGCCGCCCGGCCAAAGAGGCTGGCGCCCAGAGGCGCGCCCGGCCGGGCAAGGGAAGCAAAGGTCGGCGCCCGAAGACGCGCCTAGCCGGGCGCGAGAAACGTACCTGATGAGCAAAAAGGCGCGCCCGATCGGGCGGTGCCTCGCCCGATCGGGCGCGTGTTATTGTTAGATGTTAATTGTTTGACGTTTAAGTTTGTTTTAGCTTAGAATTCTTACGAAGTATAAATACTTCTCCGTAAAACGAGTTTAGTACCATTTTCTTTACCTTCTTTACTCTCTTAATTATTTTCTTAGATATTCTCTCTCTACTTAGCTTTTAGATTAGTTTTCTCTCTCTTATACCTTTGTTCTTAATTTGATTCTTAATTCCAGATTTCTTTTGGTAACGATTTCTCTTCTCTAAATCTTAGTTATTTATTTTATTCCTTTGATCATGTCTTATGTAACACCCCCAAATCTCCCTCTACGGAAATACTAGTATTGCCCGTATAATTATACCGTAGAGATAAACTTAGGCGTATTACCGCCGCGTGATTACGCAAGGCTACTCAACTTACTATAAATAACAATACTTTGTAGCGGAAACTCAAATACTCTTCTTTATTAATAATAACCACAATAGTAATTAATGTTATGAGTACTCAAAATAGATACAAGACCAAATTCCTAATTTAGTGAAAACCAAATCCCGGGACTCCAATGCATCACTTTATTCACTTCACCTGAAACAACACTGCTTACCATTACGGTAAATAGGGAGAACCAAAACAAATAAGAAGTACGAGTTAGCAAAATATGCTAAGTACGATAAGTGCAAGATCATTAAACTCAATTTATTCGCAAACATGCTTTAAAACCAATTTCCAATAAATAATCCAATAATTCCAAACTCATGGTTTAAAACCAATTCTCAATAATTCCAATATCAATAATCAATAAAACCAATTCCAATTATTTAAAAACCAATTCCTCATATTAAAACCAATTCCTCTCCCAAGTGTGCACACCCCCAAGCTAGTCTCCTTATGTTACAAGGCTATTCTTGAGGAAAGACCCGGTCATACAAAGTCCAAGGCCTTATCAATAAACCAAATCCGCATAGTGGGATTGCCAACATGCTTATAAAGCATAAATAATAATAAATCCATGATTCAATAAATCCTCTTTTTAATCCAATAATTCAACCTTTAATGAAAACAATCCAAACTCCTTTTCCATAAATCCAACTTACTTTCAAAATCAATCCTTTTTAAACATGAATAATAAATTAATTAATCAAAACATGTTATAAAAATCAATACTCCAATTTAATCATTAAAACCAACCTTTTAAACATACTTTTAAATTCATAAACCATAATTCAATTCAATTTAATTCAATTCATCATAAAATCATTCAAACATGTTATTCAAATCGATCACTTTCAAGGTATCTAGCCACCTAACGTACCTTGATCTTCACTTTGCCAGCAACACTTCAAAATAACTCTCAAGTAGCTTGATCAAAAACACCCTACAAATAAATATAACCTTAATCAATATAAGGTTAACAAATAATCACAAATAATTAAATTAAACCCTCCCAACTATATGTACATGAACCTCTTAAATTAATTCAACATGAACATTATTAAAATCTGATTTTATATAATTAAAACTACTCATAATAATTTCATATTAATCTCCCATAATAATAATAATAATAATTGAATAAAAGAAAAGGAGAAGAAAAGAATTGGATTTGCGCAGGAAATAATAGGCAGAACTTTCATAGGATATAACTCCTTCTATATAGCTCCTAATTGGGTGATTCTTGAGCCTAACCTCAAGGATTGTTCAAGAGGAACAACTTTCTGTGAAACGTTACTACCCCAAAAACCGACCAGAAGTGCCCGAAAATTAGCTTCAAAGATGAACAGGATGATTTGTGTAAAATTGAGGAGTAGAAAAGAAGAGAATTGGTGTGAAGAATGTGAGAGGTATAAAGGGGTATTTATAGGCTAGTATGAGCATGAATTATGGTAGAAAAATGTATGAAGAATTATGGTAATTAGGGTTTAAGAGATTACTTGGAGAAGTGAGCAAAGATTTAAGGAAAGTTTTGATATTTGAAGGGATTGTGTATAATTGAATATGGAAGGTATGTATGTCATGAAAAATATTAAGGAAATTGGGATTGCATGGGGAATAATTAAGAAGAATGAATGGCAAGAAAATATAATAATTGGATATCAAAAAGATGGAGAATTAGAATTATGGAAAATAGGAGATTTTAGGGAGATAATTAAAAATACAAATTACCAAAATATTTTCCCAAAATCTTTATGGGATGGCCGAAATTATTGAGCTTTCCTAAGCTCATATTTTCGGCCTTCCTATTTAGTATTTAGGAATATATTTTGCTAGTTTAAAGGAATAAAAATAATTGTGTAAATAATATTTATTGTAATAAATAATTAAATAACAAAATACCAAATATTCACCAAATAATTTAACTAAATAAAAATCAGATTTTCACATAGGAAAATCCGAAATTATTAGCTAATTAATTGGGATTTTCGGACCTATTAAAATAATAATAAAATATAGCTTTTTCCTTAATTAAAATATCTGAAATATAAATATTCTGGTTTTTAAAATAGGATAAATGGATAATAAATCTTATCCAAAATAATTAGTCGTTTTCAAAATACTTTTGGCGCCAAAATTCAAATATCATTTTGGCTCCAAGATTTAAATAGTAAGTTGAATTACTAAAATACCCTTTTTAGAAAATAATAATTAATTAGGAAAATACGTAGGAAAATACGGGGTATTACATCTTATTTTACTGCTTTGATTAGTTTAGTTTTTATTATGTATGAGTAGTTCTATTTCTAGGGTTTATGGGGATCCATAAATAATATGAAGGGGTAATTTATGGTTGTTAATTGTCAATGCTAGATTAATTTCCTATTGATTGAATTAATGCTCTGTGACAGATTTTTTATGCATGAGTTTAACAATATTGATTTGAGATTCGACAGATGAGAATTAATGTTTAGGTCTAGTTTCAATAGGCAGATTAATTTATAAATGGTCAAGTCGAGATTCGAAAGATGAGATTTAATACCGGTAAATTAATTGTGTGATTGTAATACTTAGCGAAAGCCCTTTATAATCTGATTAATGTATGCATTGATGAATGATTATTATATTCTACCCTGGAATATTATTTATTGGTGAACCTATGCCCTAGATCCTTTTATTCATTGTTTTCTCCTTATTCTTAATCTTCGTAGTTTAGTTCCTTTTGATTATAAAATATTGGTTACTTCATAATCTAGATTATATTAGTTAATTAGGAATAGAAAGACTCGTTTCTCTGTGGATTCGACCCTACTTCCCTATCTACATTAGTTAGAGGTTTTTGGAATTACTTTTGATTAGGGGATACGACTTTACCCTGTCAAGGGCTCTGCCGACGCTATCTGGCGGCTCGTTTTCAACAATTCTTCACTCTTTATGTATTCATGAGCTTTGCCAAACGCCACTCCTAAGTTCGGGAAAGATTTTCGTGCCATATATTTTTTAAAGTCGTTATCACCCAAACCGTTCATTAGGGCCATCACGACAATTTCTTGCTGCAATTTTGGTATGGTATTAGCCTCGTTATTGAAACGCTTAATGAAGTCCCTGAGCGACTCATCTTTCCGTTGCTGGACTGCCATAAGTTCTCCAGATGTCCTCTGCCTTGCACTGTTACTTATGTACTGGCCCCTGAACAACTCCACTAAGGTCTCGAAGCAATCAATGGAACCTGGTTCCAGATTAGAAAACCAGTCTGAGGCTACTCCTGCCAAGGTTGTTGGAAAGACTTTGCACTATACTGCATCTGTGTCAGTGTACAGCTACATATGGCTCTCAAAAGCCGCCACATACCGCTTGGGGTCTCCTTTACCGTCAAACGTGCATGATGGCATTTTTATCTTCTCCATTTGCTGATCGAGCACTTACTGGGTGAACGGGGATATTCTTGCACTACTACAAAAACACCCTATGGAGTCGCCCTTTTAGAGTCGCCTCAAATTAATAGGTGATGCGTAAGGTTTTAGAGTCACCTCTTACAAAGTATGTGACACCTAAGGATAGATAAAAGACATCTAAAAATGAGTTGAAAGGAATAGAAATCACCTACACTATAACAGGCGACACGTAAACTATACGCGTCTCGTCTTTCATTATGTGTCTCTTAAAGTATTACTTTACGAGTCGCATATAGTCTTTTACTATTACAAGCGACACCTATGCCCAGCTTTGTTTTTATTTTTATTTTCTCACATGGGATACCTCCCTGACTCCTTCTCTTGCGCCTCTCCCTCTCTCATTTTCTCTTGCCTCCCTCACCCAGTCTCCCTCTCTCTATCTCTTTGCTCCCATATCTCTAATATCTGATCTCTATCACTCATCCTCCTTCATTCTTAAATAGATCACTGCCATCTTGACCACCGTTAGCCCACTCTCACCTTTCTTCTCTCTCCTTATTCACTAGTGGTTGCGATGGTGGCGACGATGGCGACAATGATGCTTCAATTTTTAGGGTTTCGGTTGATTTTTTTTGGGCATGAGGAGTTTCTTCAAATACCCATCTTTTAATGTTGATTATATCTGCAATATTTAGATCTTACGGAGTAACGTAGTTGCTTTTTTTTTTGGTTCAGATAATAGATCTGAAGATATCCATGTATACGGGTTGTGAAGAGTATGGATCTGGGCTTGCATCTCCTCCAACAATAGCGGCGACTTCCACTTCTCCAACAGCAGAAGCAGCGGGTACCACCTCGTCCAACAACCGCGATAGATTTCACCTCTAACCACGGTGCTTCCACCACCTCCAGCCGCAACGTACCTCCTTGTAATTTCGTTTAAGCATTTGAGCATGCTAAGGTTAGCGTTTTAGTGTTTTTTACCCAAATTTTTTCACCTAATTTATTGATTTTTATTTTTAGGTTTTTAAATACGATGTAATTGATTCCTCTTGAATACAGTCCTTACTTTCTAATTGTATATTATGTGTTCCATGAATTGAGTTTACAAGATTTGAGGAATACCCAGTTCAAAATTTGATGATTTACACAGTTTTTTATGCTCAATTAATGGATCCAAACCTTAAATCTTAGGTTACGGTTCCATAATTCTGAGGTACAATTGTTAATTTTGTGCATTTTGATTTGATTTTCTTTGTTTTAGGTAAACCTCACTTCATTATTTTGGGTAATTTTGTTGTCTAACTGAAGCTCATTCAATGAATTTTGAGGTGTTTAATTTGTTGTTGTTTTTTTGGTACCTTAACAATGATCCATTTGCTTTAAAGTTTGGTACCTTAACAAAGAATAAAAAGGCAGAAAGAGTTCTTTAATTTGTTGCTGAAAATGTTTATTTGTATTGTATATGTGCATGAGTTATCTAAGCAGAACCTCATATTATTTTTGTGATCATAAAAAATTTGAACATCTGTAGTAGGTCTATATGTTATTGCTTTGAACCGAATTCATTATTGGTTGACCTTTGCCACTTTGAACTGGATTCACTATTAACTGAATTTTGAAGTGGGAACTGGATTCACTATTAACTGAGTTTTAAAGTGGGTATACAACTCTATTAATGTAGAATTGCAGACTACAATAATTAATTTAGGGGTTATTCACTGTAATATGCAAGGAATATCACATTGTTTTATTGGTCATGTCTCGTTGTGAGTCGGTTTCTCTTATTTGGAGGTTTTGAAATCATCATGTTTCACGTGAGTTGTGAGGTTGTTTGAATAGTAGTGTGCCATTGTCTTATAATTTTGGTCTTTTAGAAAGGGAACACTGTAGAATTAATTTCCTGATCTTATACTTGATTTTAATGTATTTTCCCCTGTCAATATTTCTGTAATAGGTTGTCAGATATATTCAATGCTTAGTAGTCAAAGTTGAAGCCAAATAGTGAGACAATCAAAAAAATTATCAACATGAACGTTAGAATGAAATATGTGAGTTTTTAAAATGCACACCATTCTTCATTTTTCATTTCCCTATTTTAGTCTACTTTTGCTTCATTTACCAGTTCATCTTTTGCTGCTCTCTGTAGTTTGATAATGCATATACCGTGTGAAGGATGTGGGAAAGATTAAGAAAGTTCCTTCAGCAAGTATGTTCAATGCTATATTGGCTGGTTATTACAGAGAGGTGAATTTTCCAGTCTTTGGTCTCCCTGATTTAACTAAAGGTAAAATTATACTAAGTTCCTTCCTCTATTTCTAGAATTTGTGATTATTCTTATATAATTCTCAATCTAATATCAAAATGACAATTATTTCATGTCATTTGATATAATTTGATAAAGTGCACAATTGCTGCTTAGCTCTTTAGTTTACTCACACTGTATTTTATATACTTCTTACTAATTATTTCATTCTGGGTCCTCAATGACCTTTGAGATGGAGAAATGATTATCTTCTATAATTAAATATTTTAAATTAACTTTTCTTTGCCAAGAATCAGACTTGATTCATAACTCCATTAATTTAATCTTGGACTTGACTATTGAACCTTAGATATATAGTATATATAAATATATATATTGGATTGAACCTTAGTGGAATTTTTTGGCTGTTTGGTTGTTTCTTCGCTGAGCTTGGACCTTATTGTCATTTGTCTTTGTTATTCTAGGATGTATATGTTCATCTTGATATTTATAATGTTAGTTTTATAGAAGTTTTTTCATAGAAGTTTTCAAAAGCCTATTAGCTCAAATGGTAGAGCAATGTGCTATTGCACATAGATGTAGGTTCAAGTCCTACATAGGTTATATTTATAGTAGCAAGTGTGAATTTGGAAAAAGAAAAAAATATTGTATTTTGGGCATTGCTATTGAAGAATTATATTTTTCATGAAATTACTTTACGCATCGCCTCATAAAAAGCACAGGACTCATAAAATACACCTAACGCGTCGCCTATAATGAAAAAGGCGACTCATAAACCAACCTAACGCATCACCTATAACAAAAAAGACGACTCATAAACCAACCTAACGCGTCGCCTGTAATGAAAAAGGCGACTCATAAACCAACCTAACGCGTCACGTTATAGGCGATGCGTAAAGGGGTACCTATTGTGTCGGTGCCTGTAGTGTCGCCCTTGAAGCGATGTGTAAGATGGTTTAGAGGCGACTCGATAGGGGTTTTTTGTAGTAGTGTTGGCCTGACTACAGCTCGAGCCACACGCCTTTCCGGTCTACTACTAACTTCATGCCGATAGGAACCCGAGTCCCCGATCTGGGTGTTACGGGTGACGTGACGCTCAGCCGGTATTATTGCCTCTCGGACCTGAGCCTGAGAACGGGGTTGTGGTCCTACCTGATTGAACTGACTTTCAAGATTTACAACCACTGGCTTTGCCGGTAGACTACCTACTATTTCGCCAGCCGCTAGCTCAGCTTCCTTTCTTTTCCTAGACATTGCCTGCATGACCCTAGCTGTTATTTCCAATTCCTCTGGTGTAAACCCTTCCAAAGGGTCTAGGGTTATTGCTCTATTCCAGTCAGGTGTTACCGGCGCATTTGTCGTATTCCCGTGAAGGAGATGAGTTTCATCTTCGACCACGATCTCAGGTACGTTGTTTACGGTTTTACTCGCATTAGCATTAAGGATATTGCTATCATACTGTCGATTTTCAATTTCTGGCATCGGTGTTGTAATTTCCTTACTTCTTTCCATGACCGCCGAAGGCTCTGTTGGACGATAGAAGTTATTACCTCCCCTCCTTCTAGCGCCAATTATTCCTGGTGAACTCCGGTTCCGTCAATCCATGAGGGAAGGTAATGATTTACCGTCCTATAATGCACTTGCACAGTCAACACAAATTAGCTAACCGGGGGTTATCCGGGAATAACCGCTCCGATGCTAAAGTTAGTACTCTGATGAGAAGAAAGAGAAAGAGGAGAGAGAAAGTGTTTAGAGAGATAGAGAGATTCTACCTTTTGAATAGGAATTTGCTTGGGTATTTATAGAAAGATAACCAAGCTGGTGCCACCTATGTTAATAGGTAGTAGACCGACCTTATAGGCAGCAAGTGACTACCTGGTTTAAAGCAGCTCTCCACGTGGCTGAGTGGAATGCCGATAGGGGAGTTTAAGCCGGTGTGTTAATAAACAGAATTAGCAGCGCAATGCGCTTTTACAGGCTGATAAACATATGCTACCGGCCTTATCCCATACAATATCCAAGTATAAGACTCAACTAATTCAACAAAAAATCTGTTTTAAGTCCAAAATGGAGTAATCAACTAACTCAGCTCTTAGAATACTTTTTATAATAGCATTGACACTCGATGGAAACTCATTCATCAGAAACCATAGTTGTTCTTACTTATGTTTTGCTTACACTTAATTGTCACTTTTTTTTTTTGTTTTTTTTTTTGTTTTTTTTTTTTTGTTTTATAAAGAGGAAAGGAATACATATATTCTCAAAAAAAATCAAGTCTGATAACCAGAGGTAATAGGAGAGAACATTGCATATTCTCTTAGGCAACTTTAAAATTTCCACCTAAATCACATAAAAAAACTCATAAATTATGGTTCATCATACCATTAAGGGCATTAATTAAAAAAAACAATCAAAATCAGACAAAACAATCACACAATAACCTCACTTGCTCCTCTCTTTTTTTCAAAAAAAAAAAAATGGTGAATAAACTCAGCATGTTATCACATAGAACTCAGATTAAAATTGATAAAGGGAACTAAAATAAATTCATAGGTATCATATTAAAACGATTAAAATTGATAATAGAATTTGTGGGTAACAAAAAAAATAGAGATAGTTACCTAAGGAAGATCGATGGGGTTGTAATGGAGACCAATATTAGAGGAACAACCGTGATCTTCGCAGCCATTTGTTAACCAATCCAAAGGATATGCAAGAGGCGTTTCCAAAACTAGCAAATTGGCTGCCTTAATGTTTTGGACTTGCAGGTGTATTTATATCTTTGATCTCTCTCTTAACTTCAATCCAATAAAGTTGCATCTTTTACTTACTTTTGTGCTCATCTTCAAGTAGGTCCAAATTAGGCAGCTTCCAAAACCAGTTATTGCAATGGTATGTGACTATGTTCATTTTCCATCTTCCTAATTTATGATAGCTTAACTACCTATTATATATATATATATATATATATATATATATATATATATATATATATATATATATATATATATATATATATATAATTGCATGATTTTTTATTTAGGTTGCTGGGTATGCTGTTGGAGGAGGACACTGCACATGGTAAGCGATTTAACTATTGCTGCTAATAATGCCATTTTTGGGCAGACAGGTCCAAAGGTTAGCCATTTATTTTTCACTTCTAGAACATTTTTTCTTGTAAATGTGTTATGTTATGTTGGTTTGGAGTACAGATTGTAGAGAAGCAGCTATTGATTTATAACATAAGCATATCTGATGGCTGCTGTAGACACCTACTTTTGGCCTATTGTCCCGAAAGGAAGTGCGATGATGTTACAAAAATCCGTTCTTCATGTTAGATCAAAGTTGAAATGTTTATGGACTATGAAAAGAATTATGAAGTAAGTTAAAACCCATATTTGAGACCAAGTTATCTTAGAGCCTTGTTCGATTACTAATTAGGCCTAAAACGTGTTCATACATGTTTAAACTTGATTAATAACGGACCCAAATGCGTCAAATGCAATTATTGGATCCAATGGAACCTACATTGTTGAAAAACCGAGCCAAAAAGATAAACCAACTATCCAATTCTCATAAAAGGCCTATGCAGATGGATATCCCTTTCAAAGATCTTTCCAACGGTATATTATAAGCCCAATTCCGAGCCAAAACGAAGAAGTTATGATCAAAACACTAAACTAGGCCCTAAAACCGACACCCTTGCACTCCAACGGCCATAAATTTTTATCTATAACATATTTTAACCTAATTTTAACGGCATTGGAAAGTAGACATTCAGAGCTTTCCAATGATATCTCACACGCCTTAATCCGACTTTGCAATCAAAAGTTATGGAAGTTTTAAAAATGCGTTTTCATATAAGGCAAACCGCAAACCAGTGCAACTCAATAAGTTGCGCGACTTATTGAGATGCGCGCGGCACCCCAGCGCGACTCTGGGAGTTGTGCGCGCCACCTGACGGCGCGGCTCTAAAAACCCTAAACTTAGATCCCTACGCCTATAAATAGGGGTCTTCGTTCAGCATTACGGGGACAGAAAATTAAGAATTAAAACCCTAATATTCTTAAAACCCTAATCTCTCAACTTCTCTTACTATCATACTACTTTTTCTTCTCTCTTCCCAAATACTTTCCAACCCTAATTGAATCCATTGAATTCCTTGGAGGTACAAAGAAGAAATAAAGTCCATAAACATATTAAACGGAGATTTAACATAAAAGAAGAACGGTTAGTTTCATTCCTGAGCACTTAGATAAACCACTTTTCTTTTATTGTTTAAATAACTTTAATTGATTAATTAGTGTTATTTGATCACTTTAAACAAAATTTTAATTAATTAATTCACATAGTACTCTTTCGTTAATCAAAACTAGAATTGGAATAATTAATTGTTGTTTTATCATTTAAGACAAAGCGAATCTTGTTTATTTTTTGTTCTTTTCACGAATATTGATTAAACAAAGAATAACGAATTTTGCAATGTAATTCCTACGTGATTAATGCTTGTAAATAAAATCAACTAACTTAGTCTTTAGGTATCACGATGCATATATTGTTTGGTAATGAAATTGCGAAAAAGGAAGAGCTAATAGAGGTCGTACTAGTGCTAGAATAGTGATTCCTCCCTAAAAGGAACGTTATTTTAGTACCCTCGCTCCCGAACTCATTTCTGGTTTATGTAGACCAATTTGGGCATGGGTAAACTTATGATTCGTGTTAATTATTCCATGAACCCCACATGGAAGAAAGACATGAACGAGGTTTATGAGTTTTCCTAAAACTCATTCGTGACTCCTACTTGTTTCTTACAAAAAAGCGTGATGAGAGTATCATTTCTAATTCAAGGTCTCCTAAACAGTCAGGAATTCAAATCCTAATACACCCTAACAAGTGTAAAGTCCTAGGATTTTAAATGGCCATGGGCATTTAAGGAAGGACCCCCTACGATGGGATCACCCTCCTTACAGCTGTTGGTGGTGTATTGCAGGTAGGCAGTTTTGATGCGGGTTATGGAAGTTCAATTCTATCATGTCTCGTTTGGTGACTATTAAAGCTCATTGATTCATAAGTCTGAATTGCTCAAGGTTTTTGCAAGAATTATGGGAAAAGAGGATTTCTACGGACAATAATTACAAATAAACTAGCCTTCTGGCCCGTGTAATGTACGGATTGTTTATAGATATATAATATAATTTTTAATTTTATAATATGTTTTTTATTGGAAAATGAATAGTTTATAAAGAAAAGAAAGGGTGAAAATTAAATGTAATTGTAAAGATATTAAGTTGAGGGAAAATAAACCAAATATACATATATATACACACATATATATATATATATATATATATATATATATATATATATATATATATATATACGTATGTATATATATGTATATGTATATGTATGTATATGTATATACTAGTTGGGTCACCACGTGCTACGCACGCGTCAACCAACTTTCAATGGTAATAAAAATTATTTTATTATATTTCATTGACCGAAATTGTAAGTGTAACAAAATTAAGCTAAGGTTATGTTCTCTTCACCTCATTCAAATAATATTAAGAAAAAATAATATATATTTAGTAAAATATATTTAAATTTAGTAAACAAAAGCTAATTTTAGTTACAAAAAATATATAATAATTTAGTTTAAACAAGTTTTAATCATTCACAATCATTAACAGTAAATAAGAAAAAAATATAGAGGATTAGTACAAAAAAAGTTTTAATCAGTACAATTTTAGTTCACCAACACTATAATTTTAAGCTCAACGGAAATAAAGCTAAGACTTGAGAGAATAGAGTCTAAGTACCTATTATAAAAAATATAATCACATAATGTACTATTTTTTTTTTTTTTTTTTTTTTTTTTTTTTTTTATCTTTTCCTTATAAAATTGTCTTCTGTATTCCCAAATTTTAGTGTCATTACATCCATACCAAAAAAAAAAAAATACCACTTTCATATAAATTACCCCATTAGTTTCTAAGCTTATTGTCTATACTATACTAAAAAGAGAATTCATGGTTCGTGATAAAAGGGCAAGTTGGTGACCTGATGACAGGGGAGCCGGCGACCGAAGCCCCGGTGAACGGCGGCCGTAACTATAACGGTGCTAAGGTAGCGTACAGTAATATCTTTCGACAAAACTCCTTCGATGTCCTTTTTTTTTTTGTTAGTAATATATGGGCCCTTTATTGGTATAAATCTGTATGTAGTAGATAGTGATGGTCAACTGACCGCCATATGACCCATTTTGTATATCAAGGTTATTTTGAGCTAAAATGAGTTTTGAGATAATATTGTCTTGTCAAAATAGATGATCATTTGTGAACAACGTTTTTGTTCGGTTAAACATATAATACAATCACATTTGTTTATACGGAGTAATAATTATAATTTATAATTTTATTATCATAAAAAATCAAAGCAAGAATTAAAAAGGATGGCGGGTGGTATTTGTATTATATTATACGGAGTATATTACTTTCGTTTCTTTTTAATGGACACGTTTTTTTTGTTATATTTGTTAATGCACAAATTTAATTATTAATGTTTTTAATTACCAATAAGCAATCAAAAATTATAACAAGTTGATTTATTGAAAAGATATATCGTGAAGAATCTAACAATATCCCACATGACTATATTTTCCATTACGTATAAGTCACAAAACAAGGTCATCAAAGGGAAGTGTGTGAGTAGTACTAAAGTCAAAACGTGTCAACTAATAAAACGGAGGAAGTATATATAATTTATACTGTAGTTAATTTATATAACTACCATACATTATTTGTCTCGTGTACCTTCGTATTAATGTAATCTCTCGTATTAAAATAAGTGAAATGCTCTCTTGAGCACAATCTCTTCGTATTAATATAAACTTTTCGTAAAATAAGTTATACTCCCTTCGTTTTTTTTACTCCGTATAAGCTAGAGATGGTATTGCACAAAGTTTTAGGAGGTTTTATAAAATAAGATGTTAGTGGGTAGATAAGGTTATTATTTTATTGAAAAGTAAAATGTCGTGAGAGGAAATAGGGACCATTAGGTGAGTGAAAAATGATAAAATAAAAAAGAGTGGGGACATTAGAGGGTAAAAATATATTATTAAATTGTAAGCGATTTCCAAAAATGGAACTCTACCTTTTAAAAAAACGGACGAAAATAGTAACTCTAGCTTATAAAAAAACGAAGGGAGTTCGTTTCTCATGTATCTTCATATACATTTGCGCACATATCTCATTCTAATGTAAAACTTTGACTTATAATATCTTTAATTATCAATATGTAAAAATTATAACAATTGAATATTAATAAACTATTCATTAATACGATTCCAACAAGTTTAAACAAAACTAAATTTATTCTTATGTATAAATTGCAATCATTAGTCAAATTAAATTAGATGAATAGTGCAACAAGTCAAAACGTTCCACTTATTTAAATACGAATTCAAGGGAGTATACATACATTTAGTATTAAATATTGATACATAAAAATCCAAAATTGTTTAGAGATATCCTATAACCTTTATAATAACACATGCATGTATCTTAGGAAAGTAACCACTAATGATGAATGTTCATACATAAAATTAAATAGTTGAAATACATAAAATTAAATCATAAATAGCTAGATAAATGAACAATAGTAACAATAGCATGATTAATTAGATTACTATAAAATGATGATTATGCAAAATCCTAATGGAAAAAAAGGGGCACAAATGAAGCTTTTCCGAAGCTTTCTTAAATTATTTACCAAGTGTGAGGCAACAACTATACAATTTACTTAGCACTTTTATAAATTATTATCATTTTGTGTGTCAAGGATAAATATATAAATGCTCATACTATTAGTTGTCGCAGTCCTCAGCTCTCAGTTAGTTTGCTTAATTT